AGGCGGCTGCGCTGCCTCGCGTGGCGTGAGTTATCAAATGTTCAGGATAGAATATGAAACTGGCCCGTAGAAAATAAATTACAGTATTCCCAATCCGTGGTGCACTTTAGATACGAGGCATTCGTCCTAGTCAGGGCACGATACAAATTTGCGCTTTATCATCCAAGGAGACAATCGCGGTCCGATCTCAGCCCGAGAAAAGCCTGTCCTAGCTTGCCCCTGGGGTTCCGAACAACAAAGCCTATGAGCTGCTTCAGATTTCTTTGCGGCAGTCTCGCATGTGGGAGGTGGCGCGGAGTTCGACAAGCACGAGTGGACAGTTGGCACCAGCTCACCATACTTCAAGCTTGTCACAGACTCATTGGTATTGATCTCAATTAATTACAGCGTCCCCTGCCCATGTCCTCCATCATACATTCTTGGCTAGAAGCGCTCGTTACATGGAGGTTTTATCATTAGGCTGTACTTGTCATCAGAGGCCTTCTATGCTTTCGACGCATTGAACCCTGTTTCCTCTCTCACCCTACATCTCGGTCGTGGAGCCCGGTCAGTTTCACGCGCGTACCAGCCTCATTCTCTGTTCTAGATATGCAGTCCCCGGCACAAGGAAGATGAGAAGGGGTAAACGAGCGTGGTAGATTCTTGTGTGGTTTTCTCTCTTGGCTGGCCGCATGGCACTATTTCCGAATTTGCCTTTGGAGCGTCCAATGTTCTGTGCGGGAAGGCTCTGGGCCTTTGGTGACGGTAGGGACAGGAATTGTTTGTGTTGCGAGGCCGGGCCACGTTCCTGCGCATGGTGGTCTCTTCCCCGAGGACCCGGCCTGTTTTCTTCAGGATCATGATGCTGAGGCGGTATCTCGTGTGAAACTTGTCGAAAGACTGCTGAGACAAGTCTGCTGGCCAACTCGTGACGAGTGGTGGAACTCTATCCACCTGGGCGTGGCGGAGCGAGTACCTTACGCAAAAGCACCGACCACGGACATGCCGGCGGCTATATCTTAGGTTAGCGAGTGCGTCGAAGGATCAATTTGAGGAGAGACCTACCGCCCAGCAAAACCCATGCGAAGGCTACCCTCTTGTCCTTCTTGGTCATCAGGAGATCAGCCTCCTCCGACAGGAAGTCTTCGGCGAGTAGATCCACCAGAGCGGCATAGAGCAAGAGACCAGAAGAGCTATTCTGGTGTTAATTCCTGATTCTCAAGACCAGTTTGGGGATGGACCACTTACATAGCATTGAATACGCCGACAATAATGAGACCAAAGGCACTGCTGGGGTCGTAGCTGCCCCTCGCCACCAGACCGATAGCCTGACCGATTGGTGCCGTGGTGCCAAAGGCAACAACTAGTAGCCATGGCCGTACGCTCCCTTGGGGGTAGGGCACCTCTGCGATACGTGAGCCAAGACCGAGACCCTCAAACATCTGGTGGAAGATGATGGCGACGACCAAGATGATGAACCCGTCAATGGTGAGCGAAATGGTGATGCCAACAAAGATGGAGTGAAACAGAATACCGCCCTCCAGTAGCGTAATGTTCATTGACATCTTCCGATACACGGCAGGGTCAACCATTTGACCTTCGGCGTCAAGGTGACCCTCGATAGCAGGGACGGGAACGACGGAGACACGGCTCGCAGCGCTCTTCTCGTTCATCTGTCCCTGCGAGGCGTTGATCATGTTCATCATCTCGAGGCGTTGGCGGACATACTGCTCGTAGAACACGACGAACCAAGGGGGCATCTCCGAGTCCGGAGGTGGGGCATCAACGTTGTTGGGATCGCGGAAAGGGTCGTTGACGTAAGGATAGCGCTCCCCCTTCTCCTGGTTGTATGTGGCCATGGCGACCTTCTTCTCAAAGTACAGGCTCTCTTCGTCATCGGCATCGAAGGTGTTGCGGAACGGGCGGGCCGGGCGGACGGGAGGCTGCTGTTGCTGGACTGCCGTGGGACGCGGGCGGTGAGCGGTGACATCGCCGGTTGGGCCGCCGTGGGAGTGACCACCGGTCTTGGCGTGGAGGTACATCTCGACCGTGAAGAGTGCGAACATGGCAGCCATCATGATGACACCGGGCATGGCCGGGTATTGATCGGTGAAGAGGTCGGGCAGACACGGATCCGTCAGGCTTGCGAAAGCCGTGGGCAAGAGCTGAAAGCGTGAGACGGAGCGAACATGCTGGTGAGGGCCTGAGCAACTTACATGAACAAACGCCGTAGCAACCAAAACGCCGGTACCAAAATGTTTGCAGGCAAAGAATACCTTGGGAGGGACCTTGAGCCACTTGACCTTCTTAGCCACGACGGGGAAGCCGGCACCTGAGATGGTTAGCTCACTCATGTAGATGTAAGACTGATCGGTGAGAACAGCTCCTTACCAAAAATTGACGCCGCCAACACCAGGACTACACCGCATTAGCAATCACTTCCTCATGGTACGCTCTGCTGTTGACTTACATAGGGCCGCCACGTGAAGGGGCAGGTCATATTCCCCTGGCTCTTGGCCTCCACCGCACTGAGGCTTCGCATTCGGAAGGGGGTCCATTCTGCAGTCAAGGTTCGTGCACAGAGAGAGGTAATTGAAAAAATGAAGTAAAGAAGTGAATCAAAGAATACAAGTTGAGTATGAGCTGCCAAATTATCCAGGGCGCGTACAATACTCGTAATTTCAAAAAGGGGAACAGAAGGGGAATGAAAGGGACGAACGAAGCTGTCCCGCAGCTTCAACGCAAGAACAACAGACGAAAATGACTGTGCAACGAAATCAGAAGATGCCGGGTCCTGAAAGGAAAGAATCGAGGCCAAGAGGAAAGGAAATGGAGTAACAGTCAAGACCTAGCGAGACCTTCCCAAGGATGGAGTTTGTTCTGGTCACGGCCAGTCGCCAGCTTTAGTAGGCCTAGACGAACTCGAGCCGCAACTAAGTGCAAGGTCACGGACCGGAACGGCAAGTATTGACGCGTCCGTTCTCACGTAGAAGCAACGGATCATCGGCTTGACATGACACAGAACGGCGGCAAGATGATGCCAAGCCTGCAGCAGGGCACGGAGACAACAGAGACCGTAGCATAGCTGATCGAACAACGAGAAGGAAGAGCCGACTCTTGGCATATAGGCCTACGATGCTACTGCTTGGCAGGTATCGTGAAGATCAAGTCGAAGTTGAGACTGTCTGTCTAAGCATGTTTTGCCGGATATGAGCGTGGGTCCAGTCCGATTCGAGAAAAACAAAGGACAGTATCACCCAAAATAGAGCATGGCACGCTGCTGGGGGTCGAGGCCTCACCAAAGGGAGGAAAAGAACGGGGGGCCAGGGGTCCAGAGTCGGAACGATGCAAGGGCCCCCGTCGACGAAAAGGGACCAGGGGGCCTCAAGGGAAGAGCCTTTCGGCGTGAAGCGATCGACTCGCCGCAGCAAGACGCCTATTTCAAATAAAGGTGTGAAACCGGAGATCTTGGACAGATTGCCGCAACATGTCAGGACAATTCAGGTTAGAGCCAACGGCGCGTTTCAACACTAATGCAGCATGCGTCCGCCAAAGCCCGGCAGTCGTCAATTCGTGAGACGAGCTAGAAGGCAAGCTGTGCAGCGTAAACATCATCGGCCAAGGCTTAGCAAGGAATTTAGGGGTGTGTGGGCATGCGGGTGCGGGTGCGGGTGCGGGTGCGGGTGGTCTGGGGGCGGGGAGAGGCTTTGGGTTGAGATGGCATCAGGGCGGTGCAGTGGTCGAGACAGCTAGTCGCTGGAAATCTTTGCAGACCGAAACTCATGCCAAGAGACCAAAAGATGGGATCTTCTTTTTCTCATGGTTGCCCTGTCATGGTTGCGACTGTCACAACAACGCCAAGACATGTGATGTGAAAACCGTCTGGTGAATCTTCAGGTCAACCACAGGGAACGGACAGAGTTTGTGCGTGTAACTATGGCCCGCAATCGCCACATCTGGATGAAGAACCAGTGTCGTCTGCGCGCCGAGTTCCGATGGATGAGGGCAGTGCGGCGACACATTGATGGTTGTGTTGCGGTCGCATCAGGTCTTTCGTCACCCGCCATCGTTGTCGTTGGTACCTAATGCGGGTGACGGAACACTCAAAGCAGTACGAATGTCGAATATTTACTTTTCCTTCTGCTCATTTCCAGCTGTTCGAGTAAGGTGTGGGATGGGTATAGCTGACGGTTATCGATCACTTTCTGTTCCATCGAATGAAGGCATTCGCGGCTCTTGAGCCTCCGGCACGGATTTGAAACGAATGGTGCACCAGTCACTGGGCACTGCATGGGCGTTGGACGTGGGCCCCATGCCTGATCGCCGTCGTCATCCATGCCTTGTGGTGAGCCAGGAGCCAGGAGCCAGCAGACAGGAGGCCCAGGGCCTGATGCCAATGCTGGGGTCTATTGTCTCTTGTCTCTGGGGAAGACGGGACGAGGTCTTGGGCCTCGCGCTAATCCCTGAGAGGGATAGTCTCGACACGGCCTGCCTCAGTCGGTTACACTTGGTCCTTGCCGGAAATAGAAGCCCAGTCCTGACTCCAACCACTCCTCGCGCCTCGACGCTGGGACGACAGAACTTGACGTCGGACGGCATGGTCGCCATGTGAGGGCCATTGCGGTTTGTGGTGAGGTTTGGCCGAGGAGCATTGAATCCGAAGACTACAATCCCATCTTGGGATGGAAGGGCAAACCAGGATTCCGTGCTTCAGCCCTGAGGTGCCCCTCCCGACGCCCCCTTGTTCGGGGATTTTAATGTGCTGAAGCTCCTTGAATCCAGCATGTCGCATTGGTAGGAGTGCCTCAAGCTCACCACACTGGATCAAATTCTCCGAACAGGCGAAGCGAGATGGCTGGAGGCCTTTTGCTGTGCTTGTGCATGCTGCGTGCCTGATATATTATTGCTGCTGTTGAAGCGTCTGACATGTATTTCCCCAGACCTTTCTTTCCCTAGCATCATCACACGCACCAATTCAGAGCCACTTTGACGACTCATAAGCATTGTCTCATATCTCTACCATGTCTACCTCTGCACAGCCTGAGAGCAACCCTGTCTGGTCATCAGGTTCGTCTTGCCCTGTCGTCTAAGCCTCGCTTCTGCTTGCCGTCTCGCCCCCGAGATCACCGGCTCCCCTACTTTCCCCCTTGTCGATCCCCTCTTGGTGCCCATTGCAGCCCTAGCATAGCCACATGCTCAGATATGGCGGCCATGTACTGATCATGGCGAAGGCGGCTCTGCCCCAGATGAGGCTATCGTCCCAGCACTAGCAACAGGATCCGACGACAAGATCACCCCCACGGTTGTGGGCGATGCTGATGTCTCCACCGTCCAATCGTCCACGGCGGGCATGATTAACCGCGCTGACCCTATGGACTTTGGCCGCCACCGGCGCGATAATGTCAACAAGAAACAAATGGCCATCGACCACCCCAAGGGGAACAAGCGAAAGCTCACAAAGTTCTACACGCGCCAGAACGAGCTCATCGACCAGTTCCTGGGAGCCGATGACGAGGAGCGTCTCAAGGTCGAGGAAGATGAGAAGAATCAACCCAAGATTCAGTTCGCCATCTGGGCCTCGTTTGTTCTCAACTTTCTACTCTTCGTCATCCAGCTGTATGCTGCCGTCTCAACTGGATCGCTCGCGGTAGGGTCATATCTCCAACCTTGCTTATGCACGACTCATTGTTTGATAGCTTTTTGCGACGGCCACCGATGCCTTTGTGAGTCTCACCTGTCCCGTCCAAAATGAACACGCAGCTCACAGGTCATTTCAGATGGACTTTGTGTCATCCCTTGTGATGCTCGTCACCTCGGCCTTGGCCGTCCGTCCGAGTGTGTATAAATACCCTGTGGTATGTGACGCGAACCTGAAGCGAGGTCATGTATGCTCACTCCGCAACAGGGACGAACCAGAATCGAGACCATCGGGATCATCCTCTTCTGCTGCTTGATGACAACTGTCGCGGTGCAGCTTTTGGTGCGTCGCATCAGGCCCGCGAAGTGCTTGATGCTGTTCAACCTGTTGACTCGCCAAACAGATCGAATCCGGGCGACGCCTGGCCGAGGGCGAGCGCGACTCCGAAGCCTTGCATCTAGTCCCTATCATCCTCATCAGTGTTGCCATCTTTACAAAGGGCAGCCTCATGTTCTACTGCCTCGCGTACAGGAAATACCCCTCCGTCCACGTGTTCTACGTGCGTCTCCCGAGCTCCGAGCCTCACAAAACGCCGACGGGTGATGCTGTGTTGCTGACGTTCACCAGATCGACCACCGCAACGACATTGCCGTCAACAGCTTCGGACTCATCATGGCTATCGTGGGCAACAAGTTCGTGTGGTATCTCGACCCGCTCGGCGCCATTCTCATCGCGCTCCTCATTCTCTTCTCCTGGGTCTCGAACGCGTTTGAGCAAGTGTGGCTTCTCGTCGGCAAGTCGGCGCCGAGGGCCTTCTTGTCCAAGTTGGTCTACATGTCCATGAACCACGACGAGCGCATCGTCAAGGTCGATACCGTAAGTGCTCATCCAGGGATCAAGCTCCGTGAACGAATTCTGACGTATATGCAGTGCCGTGCCTATCATGCCGGACAGCGGTATTACGTGGAGATTGACGTTGTCATGGGCGAGGACACGCCACTTCGAATCTCGCACGATGTGGCGCAAGAATTGCAGCGCAAGGTCGAAGGTGCGTCCGATGACACTGTTTCTTTTCGCACGCGCTGCATCCCCGGTTGCTGACTTTTTGGGGCTACAGGTCTCGGTGACGTTGAGCGGGCCTTTGTCCACGTCGACTATGAGCACGACCACAGCATCCACACGGAACATAAGCCGTTGTTCGAGAAGAAGAAGAAGAGCAGGACGCTGAGAGAGATTCTGACAAAGACGAAGAAGGAGACAGAGCAGTCAACGCAAGACGGTGTTGCCACGTCGGGAACATCATGAGCTGGGAACCTCATGAGCTGGAGAGCGGACACAGAGCGCTTGTTGCGAGAGCTAGGCGATGACGAGGGCAACAAAAATCGGTGAGTATTCGGTAGCAGCTGTAATTCAGTAATAAAATGGTACCCTTTGAGGTGCTCGAAGTTTCGAAAAACACGTGGTTTCCGTCTGCTGAAGGTCTCTCCAGTTTTGCGACTTAACGGGCTCCTTGTGATCGCGGGTGCTCGAAATCTTCATAATTCCTCGAACGACTCGCTGTTCATGCCGGCGGTCTGTTCAATTGATGCTACCATCTCTAAGGACAGCAATGTTACCGTCTCAAGCAGCAGTGTATGCACAGCCAAGGGAGACGCATTGCTCTCCGATGGACACACGTTGACATGGTCCGTGCACAGACAGTTAGACAGACCCACTCCGAAGCAGCGCATCCCGAAATTTCCCAGAGCCTCAATCGAGCATCAAACCACGATCCAACTTTGACACCCAACGAAACCCGCCCCCTACACGAGCTTCCCTCGCATCGACGACCGCGAGCCGCGCGCAAATCCGTACACGAACCCACCTCCGCCTGAACACCACAAAAGGGGTCACCACCCGCCGCCCAACCGACCATGCAGCCCACAGCCTCCCTCCGCGTCCTCGGCTACCGCCACCTCCGCCTCACGACCAAGGACGTCAACAAGGGCTTCTACAAGGGCAACCGCACCGGCTCCATGGGCAGCCACACCCGCTATGGAGGCTACAAGATCGACTGGGCCAAGGTCCGCACATTCGCCGTGCCCGAGAGGCTGTTCGAGGCCGACTTCAAGGTGCGCCTAGCCCCTTCCTCTCTCTTTGCCGGCACACCAACCGGAGACCACGACCGGCGCGGGCGGGCGGTTAGGGCTTGAACTCGCTGCGAGCAAGCGCGGCTGTGGGAATACGAGACTGACCAGTGTGACAGCTTACCCCGTTCGTGGGGGACACGATTAGGAAAGTCCGCGGACAGTACGACACCGCTGAGGGCCCGAGGAACCCGGCGGCGTACCTGGAGAGCTGGAAGCTGCAGAACGGCAGGACATAGGGGCGGTTTGCAGCATGAGTCAGGTGCCGGAGACGACGATGTAAAATTATACACAAACTAGGCGGCCATTCCGACGAAGAGGGAGGCACAGACTAGCATAGGAGACGCTGCGGAACACCGCGTTGGTCGCGAGCTCGGCTCTACTGGAAGAGCTGTATACCCTTTTGGAGAAATGTATCAACATGTACAACATGATCTCTTGCTGACCGTTCGCATTGGTCGCAAAACGTAGACTGGGGTTCGAGGATGTGCATCGGCAGCAACCTACAGCTTGAAAGCGTCATGTTAAGGTACGACGGTAGCACAATTCAGGATCGTTCAAAAGTGAAACATGCCAAAATATTACTTATTACTCTTCTTTGGTTTTGCGCCAGTGTTTGTCTAGGTCTGAAGTCACCTGCCTGCAGAAGCTGCCATGGGCAAATCCTCGGCGGCTGTCACAAATATATCTCTCTGCATCTGCGGCCTGTCAAATTCTACCATGGGCGTGGCATAAGCAGATGCAGAACCTGCCGCCATGGGCGTGGCAGAATCAAGATGCTCCGAGACAGGTCGTGAGCTCGTGCCCTTGCCTGCCGCGGGGGGCATTGGATCAGCAGAGCGCACATCTTGGACAGGTGCCGTGGACTGCAAAGTCATCATGCTCGCCGTGTCGGCCTCCTTACCCAATGAGAAAGGCACAGCCAGCCCATTTACAAAGGGCCGCTTGCCTGCGACCTCCACCTCTGGTTCCGGCCTTGCGCCAGCATCAGCAGCACTTGTAGGCGGTATTGGGCTGACGGATCGCGCGTCAGGAGCCGGCGCAGCCGACTGCAGAGTCATCATACTCGCTGTCTCTGCGTCATGGCCCAGACGGAACGGCAATCTCTTGACTGCTGCACCCGTTTCAGCGTTCTGCGCCGCATCCGACACGTCAGTCCCGTTGCTCATGGTCCGGAGAGGACTCATCGGCCTGACGTTCGGCCCAGCTGCTGTGGACTGGAGCGTCAGCATGCTAGCAGTGTCCGCATCTTTGCCGAGGCTGAAGGGCATTGCGTATCCATCGATAAAGGGCCGCTTGCCAGCGACCACGGCGCTTGGGATATGCGTGGGACTAAGCGTGCCAGGAGATCCAGCGTCGTGCCCGCCAACAATCGCCTCCTCCCGCTGGTTGTTCCCCGCCTCTCGCCTTAGCTCGATGAGTGCGTCGACCGGTGCAACCCCGTCGTCGAGCTCGCTTTGCTGTGAAGTCTGATGTTCGTCAACCACAGTACGACTCCTGCTTCTTGGGCGACCTGGTGAAGTAGGCGGTGCCAGTGTAGCATCATCAGCCTCGCCGTCGACATTCGACGGCATCGGCACGCCGCGATCAGGCTGTGTTGCGGTTGTTTGCTCCACGGCGTCCCGCTGATCAGCCTTTTGCTCCCTCTCCACTGTCATTTCGTCATGCTTTGAGCCCCAAAGCGACCACAATGCGAGACCAAGACTCCTCTTCTTCTTCTTGTCAACCTGCTCTGCGGGAACCTTCCTACGGCCTGCCAAGGCGGTCGGCGGAGGGGTTTCACCATCGCCATAACCAACGAAGCCCGACGCGATGTCCTTGACAATCTTTTGATGCACTTTGGTTTTCGCGCTCGAATACCTGCTGTCCCACCGCGCCTTCGTTTCAAGCCATCTCCGGACGGGGATCTCCTTGGCGACCCCAATGTCCCTCTTGTCCATTGTACAGCTGGCGAGCTCGGAAGGCGCCTCCAGGTTATACACGCCTCCGTGCCGCGTAACTCTTTGCCTAATCATGTGCCCTTTGAAAGGAGGCAGGGTGTCTCCCGCCTTTCCGATCTGGGCTTTGAGGGGGTTGTTGCCCGCAGCTGCAGACTCAATCTGAGCTTCCCACTCTGGCTGTGGCTGGTCAGTATCGCTGCCGGAGGAAGAAATGACCGAGATGTCATCATCGTCCAGAATGTCGATTTCGACTTGTTGAGCTCGGGCGAGGGCCCACGCCCCAAATTGGGCAATGGACCGATACATGTACTTTGCGGGTCTTGTGAAACTGAGAGTCGGGGCGACATGGCAGAGGTCATCCCACACCTGCAGCTGAACGTCTGTTGGCTTGTACCGGTTGAGCTTCTCGCGGTCCGCATCGTTCATCTTTTCGTCTGGTGGAGCGTACTTGGTGGGATTGGCACACTTGTGAGCCAGATAGATTTGTTCATCACGCAGAACCTCGCCGCCGCCGACCATAATGAGCAGAGGCGGAAGACCTCCGAGGGTTGGTTGCGTGACGGGGCTGACGAGTGGGTGGTCAATGAGCTGGTTGGTGGTATACATCTGGAGCAGAGTCAATTCAAACAGTTCTTAGTGTCAATCTAGGCCCAACTCACCTGAATCTGATCCTTGACGGTCGTAAATTTTCCGTTAATGGTGACGGAGAGCAGGACTGAAGTCTTCGGCACATCGGCTTCGAGAGGAGCCTCAGGCTTTGCCATCGGATCACCCTGTGCATTATGCCCTTCGGGTGTCTCCAGTTCAAACGGGTTGCCTTGTTTGGCCTCTAACGTGCTTGGCTTCGCAGCGCCCTTATCTCCCTTCTTCGTCTTCGCAGCTTGTTCTTCCATCATGGCCAGGTCGTCCTCGTTGGGCGGCGGCCATGCCCGCGATGGCTTGTGGTGAAACCCAGACGAGGGAATATAGTCGAACGGTGTATCTCCCGCTACACTGGGAAAGGAATGTGTCAGGTCGACCCAGGGGCTGATGAGGATGGCGCCAGCAGGAAGAGGAATGCCTTGGTCACGCAGAGTACAGAGCATCGACATGACCATGCCGCCGCCGGCCGAGTCGCCTGCGAGGATGATCGTGTTTGGCTCCTGGATGGTGAGGAGATAGAGATACGCCGCAATACAATCCTGCAGCCCGCAGGGGAAGGGGAACTGCGGCGCCAGTCTGTACTTCGGCGCAAAGACCCGAGCCTTGAGCTTCCGGGCATGACGCTGCATCTGATACCTGTGCTCGTCGACGCTTCCAAAGAAGTAAGCGCCACCATGGACGTAGAGCATGACGCGCTTCCCGGGATCTCCATTCTTCTTGCGCTCTTGGTAGTGCGCTTTCATCTCGATCCATTCGGCCTTGAGCGGGCTTTTCGGTCTCCTCCACTGCCACCACTGACGGCCGCCGACTCGCGCAATGCCTTCCTCGCCCAACTCGGCCTGAAGCAAAGTGGCGGCCTTCTCGAGTAGCTGGTCGGCGATTGTAACCTCGTCAACCCGCACCCATTGCGGATGAGGTACCCATTGTGCGGTAAAAGCTTGAAGTTCTTCCACGGTATGCTGAGAGGCGAACTGGAGAAAGGACCTGACGAGGTGGAGGCCTTCGTCGTAGGACAAGTGGGCGGTGGGCTTCTGTTTGAGAGGCTGTCGGTTGAGGTACTGCAAGCCAAGATGTGTCAGTGGGACCTCTCGTAGGGAGGACGAGAATCTGGACCGTCCACCCCAAGTCTTTGGATGTGGGAATCAGCCTCTGGAGTCGGGGGTTTACACACATGGGACAAGAGTGTGGAGACGACGGTCGGCGTCACGGCCAATGACACAGATGTCGTATTGAGCTTGAGTGGGTTCATCGTGGTATGATTCGTGGTTGTGTCGCTATCGGAGGCGTTGTCGTGTGAGGCTGTGATACAGCGAACCAAGCTGCCATGGGCGACGCGCCGAGCTGGGGACCGTGAAGCTTATCGTGGGAGCAAGCTCAGAGCTCGGGGCAGGCGATGGGAATTGAGACAAGTCCAGTTACCTCGTGCTTCAGAAAGAGAGCCAACAGCATTAGGGGCAGTTCCTCATGTTATTAGCCCATCTTGGCCCCAGGGTCTAGTGATGTCATTTCTTGGCGCACATGCCAACGGATACCTGCCCACAGGCGGGCAGGGCGGGCTCACGGGCACCTTCATCTTCCGCAGCCAGTGGCTCTTTCCCCTGGAGCCGGACCCGTTTGCGGGGAAAGGGAGGCCCTGTCTTGGCCTGAGGAAGTCCCCCCCTCCCCACCGCACTCAGCCGTACTGTGCACATGATACAGTGCTATCCAGCGCCCGCACGCATCGCTGCACGCAGAAAAGATTTCCTATCTGACAGCGACGAAATGTCACCCCTCCTCGTGCATAATGCCCCTCCAACACATAGACTGACCACTCGGCCGACCATCGCAAACAGCAGTCATGGCTTCAAACGGTGCCCCCGCGGCTCTGACCGCAGGTATGCCATTCTCTTCACCGTTCTTCTTTGCAACACGGATCTCTGACCAACGTGATACAGCCGCCGCGCAAAATAACTTTGAACAAGCCGTGGCCCTCTCCCTCCACACATGGCCCGCCCTCACCTTGTCCGTCCAGAACAACTGGGGCGGCGAGGCCTCTTCCGACAAGCGCGATTGGTTCGCCGGTGCCGTCGTCGATCTGTTTGCGCCGTTTGAAAAGGTTGTCAACGGCGTTGCGACCCCCAAAGACGCAGCGGCCGCCGCCGAGGAGGAGCCCGATGTTGAATACGTGGAGGAGTTCCTCCTTCAGGTCATGTGCGACGAGTTCGAGGTCAACATTGATGATGAGTCTGGCTTTGATGTCGCCCAGGCCATCATCAAGTTCCGCACCGACTGCGCCAAGGGCAAGTTTGACGATCTCAGCGAGCTGCAACGCAAGTGGGAGAGCAAGAAGGGAAAGAAGGTCCAGGTCGCCCAAGGAGAGAGTCCCAACCAGGAGGTCGACGATGACGACAGCGACGACTACTCGGACGATGAAGATGTCAACATGGATGAGGCGCCTCAGCTGGTACAGGTTTCTAAGGAGAAGCCCGCACCAGAGGTGGACGAGGATGGCTTTACCACGGTGTCGAGGAAGAGGTAGACGAGACAGGAAGCTTGATACAACAAACAGCGAATGATTTTGACCAAGACCTGGAAGTATGGACCAAGTGCGTCTCGAGCGAGAAAAAACCCCACGCATTCACACGCTGCCGCTCTGAACGGCCGTCAAGAACGAAACCCCTGAAATCACCCGCCTCTCCGGAACGCCAAAACCCAAAACTTCGATCACGCATTTTATTCCCAGTCCTCGTCGCTGTCGTCGCCCTTGCGAGACTCCTTCGGACTGCTGGGTGCCTGGCTGGCAACGCCTGACCGGGCACCCACAACATCGTAGCTCGCCTCGCTATCGGCCTGAGACTTCTCGTCGTTCGACGTACGCGACTCGGGCGCAGGCTTGAGGCTTGAAGCGGCTGTAGATGGGTGAATTGTGGTCGAAGACTCCACAGAAGCTGGTCTCGCGATCTTGGGCTTCTCCTCGGCCTGTTCAGACTTCTCCTGCTCTGCTTTGGCCGGGGGAGACTCGTCATCCGAGTCGTCGTCCCAACCGACCTCGTCTTCGGCGGACGCGGCTGATCACGCTCTGTTAGCCGTATATCCATAGCCTCGTAAACAGTATTCAAAACTCACCCTTAAGAAGATCTCGCCGCCTCGTCTCGGCGGCATCGAGACCGTGACGCAGGAAGTAGTACCGCTGCCAAAACTCGGCATAGGGCACTTGATCCGGCACCAGCTTCTCCATTGTAGAACGGAGCTCGGGGTACTTGGAAAGATCCTCCGCAATGTCTGCCGTCTTCTTCTCGGCGTCAAATGTCTTCGCCCAAGTCTTGAATTCCTCCGTGGCGGGATCCTTGGCGAAGCTCTCTGGGCTCGTATGGACAGCGTGCAGCTGTGCGTCCTGGCGCGAGGTGTGGATGACACGCTTTCCTTGCGCGTCCTTGCTCTCAAAGAGAACCGTGTTGCTCTGGCTGCTTGCTTCCGTAGGCGGTGCTATACTGACGGCATCCTTGAGGAAATTGGAGATGTTGGTGCCGAAACGAAGCAGCGCCTCGTCGGCGGCATCCTCAGCCTTCTGCAGATCCTTCAACCTCTTGGCAGCCTCGGCGCGGATCTTCGACAGGTATGTCTCGGAGTTGCTCAGCGTATCTTCTGATGTCGAGGCTCGGGCCTTGGTGGGTGTAGCCTCTCCCTTGTCGTCGCCTTCCTTTGTCTTGGTCCCAGATGATTCCCCCTCCTGCGCTGTCGTCGTCGTGTCGAGAGTGAGGGCCCGCGTCTGGCTGATAATGGAGCTCTGGAGTCCGCTGAGGCCCTTTGCAGCATCTTGTCCCAGCTCAGTGACCTCTTTCGAAGCCTCGCGGTACACTGACTGGCCCTGATCTCCTGGGTCAGATCATAAACTCTCCTGCCCTCCTTCGACAAGGAAAGTTGGAAGATGGGGAGGTCGCGCACCTGTTTGACAGCGTTCCCTAGGAAGCCGCCTAGCTTGACGCCCCATGGGCTGTTGGCGAGCGCTTTGTACGCTTCCTGGATGTCGTCGTTCAGGCTCACTTCGGGCTTGCCGTCATTCTTGTCGCCGTCCTTCTTGTCGTCATCTTTCGGATAAGCATCCTGATTGATCTGGTCGTACGCGAGATCCATGGTGTTAACACTGCGAGCTATGCTCCTCGAGAAGGTTCACAAGGGGTAACAAAAGCTTGTGATTTGGTTTTCGTGAGCTCGCCGACGATTGTTTTGCTGTCATGCACTTCCCAATAGAATGTGCTTGAGGCTCTGGTCCCCTGACGTGACCTCCAGAGAGATCCAAGCGGGGTTGTCTGGTTTCCAGCCACCAATGGCGCTAGACCAACCCAGCTAGCGCCCCGTCCGCAACTGGAGCTTCCGAGCCGCTTGATCCCAGGTCGCGAACAATCAATCAACCGCCACGCTTCGGTGAATGCCGTGCAGAATACATGACTACTCAAGATATTGGCAAGTGCCTATCTAATTCAATCCTTTGCCTACTTACCCAGGAGCGCATGTGGACGGAACGCTTACTGGGTCAAGACACAACCACAATTCCAATTCTTGTTGAGCCAGGCCACGTAGACCACGAGCTCGACCCGCCTTGGATGTTACCTGAACTTTATGGTCGACATCACTGTGGATGGGGCACCAGGCGACTTTCGACGTGCCATACTGCGCGTCGCCGTTCCTGCCCACTCGTACGACATTGTGGGTGCTTGAATAATAGCCACAGTCAAGCTCGATGGTCTGCAGGTTTCACCAAGCTCCCTGGATGAGAAGACACTGAAACTAACATGGGAACCCCTAACAGCTCAATGTAGAAACAAAGTAGTCCAGCCGGCTCCATAAAAATGCAGCACCATGTTAATCGTTTCGCTTCATTGACAGAGCTTCTCTCGCTCTGCCGTCCTATCGTATGCGAGACGGCCTTCAACGTACGGTCTAGACTCGGATTTCGACGGCGAGGATTGTTGGCCAATGGACTCTCGGTGGAAAGTGTGGTTGATATCTGGAATATTACGGATTCATCTCTGGTTGACGTCTTAGACTGTCGTGGTCGGAAAACCGGCAGGGGATCAACCTTTCCCCCTCTATTTGGTGGTCCGAGGACTTGCCTCGAATTTACGGCCGGCCTGGACTGTGCAGTGTCACTTGAAAAGAACAGAATCTACATGGGTGTCTATACGATCCGCCGGGCATGCAACGACGCGTAGACCTTGCCCTCAACACTACTTAGGCCAAATTGTAAGCTCTGGCAGCTGGGCTATATTTTGCCTTGCGGTATTGTAACAACGAGCTTACATGACTCACCGCCATCCCTAACCGTTCAGGTTGCTTATACCGCGTGAAGTCAAGGGTCTATTTGGTGGAGGCTGAGACCTCGTACCGGAGAGGCCCGGATAGCAGCGGTTGTGTAGGGATGACCACCACAGACGAGGTCAAGGTGTTAGTTGATCACGTGTGCGGGGTGTCGAATGCAAGGGGTTGCGCCATTCGCCGGGTCTCAGTCCGTTCAACCCGTCTTTTGGTCGGGGAAGTACGTTATTCTGTCGCAAGCCTTGAAAGGATCACGGCGGTAACAGCAACGGAGACATCGGGGTTAAGCTGTGCGCCGCTCGGCTTGGAACCACAGGCTAGCTAGGCCTGCGGAACGCTGGCTACCTACCTGGAGCAAGTGACCAAGCAAGGGCCTCCTTCGTGTTTCAAGAATGCATTGAGTGAGTCTTGATGTCAACTTTACGTGTTGATGAGAACATATCGTTTCTTAATGCCGATGGACGTATGATGTCGATACGCCTGGCTGCTTGACAGACTCAGGTTCGGCTGATCCCAAGGACATCATCCCGCCTTGAGCCGGTGGCTGTATTTCTACAGATCCCCCTCAACGGGGCATTCCGGCTCCTCGCCAGTCAGGTCACCAGACACGTTACCCATACGGTGCTGTTGTTTGCGCACGACATGCGGCACGTGGTAGATGAGGATGACGAAGGCGCAAGGCTATGTACGCCGTTAGTCTAGGTAGAGGGAGGGGGTACTTTCATGTGAGCGAAGGGCGTAATGACAGATTATCAGGATTCTCATCGCCAGGCTGGCTCCAGCAGCTCGAGAGGTGCAACGACGCTAGAGCGGTAACGGTCTGGCTTCCAGCACGTTGTGTGTTTGGTAAGGCATGTGTGGTTTTTGAGATGGGGCCCTGAGTCATCTCCACGTCTTTACTCGGAACGGAGTCGCCGCCATCGGGGTCGGGGCATAATCCGGCCGTAGCTGCTTTGTCTGGCAGGACTGGTGTCTTGCCACCATGGCATGGAGTACCTTATCTACGCTTCCACTTCAGCAGTTCGATCGCTCCAGAGCTCTGGGATCGACGCGGCTTGCCAGTGATGGTTCAGAGCCTATTCCTCAGTGCGCTGCTGTTGCTTTGGATAGGTGCATTTGGAAGGACAGGGCCAAGTGGCAAAGTTTCGAGCTCAAACGCCTCATGGTGGATAGAGACGCGAGAGCTGGAGAGACGGGGCGCTCTCGACAGTGTCAGGGACAGGACTGGCTTTTGAGTTGGCTGGGGAGACGGCTGGATCCTGGCAGGTGCCGAACAGGCCGCGCCTGCCGTGCCTCGATTCCCTTGATCCCCAATGGCGCTACCGGGGAAAGCCCACACACACAAACACACACACACCACTGCACACATCCTAGTTAGGTAGTTAGGTACTTTCCCCCTTTGCCCCTTCTCCTTCCCTCCCACCTCCACCTGCCCAGGCAAGCCCAGTTCCGGTAGCAGCACCTCCTCCCCCAAGCAGCCCAAATCCCTGCCCCTCCATTTTTGCCTGGCAGTGCACAGGCTGACAAATTGACGTCGAAGGGGCCCATCTGGATTTCTTCCCCTCCTCTCGATGCGATTCCAGTCCCTCCACCCACATCACTGCCACTCTCACAGCAACATTGCCGCCGCATGCCAAACTCGTCCGTCTGCTACCCCCAAAGCATCAGCCAACCGTACGCCGAATCCCGTTGAACCTGACGTGCAGAATCCAGAAGCAGGTCGACGAATCTGTCCTCGTCCCTCCCTACGTCCTCCCGCGCGCCAGGCAGACATCTGCACCTCAAAGGCATCCAAATCCAACCCCCCCACCTGGACCCTTCTTTGCCTTCGTCACCTCTCCAAACCGCGACTTGCACCCAACATTTGCATCAAGTATCCCGACCGTCAAGCATATTTCTCATCGTAAAAATTGCCGGACTTCCATACAGTCAAATACTACGGCACATCTCAATTGTGGACACCTCCATCACACCTGGTTTCTGCGATTTTATTGACCCGAGTGGCTGTTCACTGAGTCACTTCACACAACCCGATCATCGTCATTCTGTCGCCGTTTGGTCCTGCCTTTCCTGGCTCCAGACGGCCCAGTCTTCTTTGCGCGTCGTCGCACAAGCCTCACATTGAAAACTTGACCCCTTTCACTACCACGACTACACACCACCGCCCATTCCTCTCAACAGACGCGATGGCTTCGACCAACACCCAAGCGGGGTCAAACAACCTCTTCCTGACTCCGCAACAACAGAGCCTTCTTTTCGCCGCTCTCAACTCCAACAAGCAAGCATCTTATTCCTCGCCTGTTGCCAAACATGTGTCCGAGTCACCCTCCTCTCTCCAAACATCTCCCGCCCAAGGTGCCGGAACCAAACGTTCTACTGATACTCCCTACCTCGACAATTACGACTATGACTTTGGCGACTCGAGCTTTGACTTTGAATTCGCGGACACCAGCCAGGCTTCCATGATTGGCGACTTGCCTAACCTGGCCAAGACAGGCGTCAATGAGGGCGAGTCTTCAGACAAGCGTGCTCACCCTGACGATGACGACGACGACGAAGAATCCCTTGGCAATGACGCCAAGAGACGTGAGAGCACGGAGAAGGTTGCGAAGAAGCCCGGGCGTAAGCCCCTGACTTCAGAGCCCAGTTCGGTAAGTTAGGCTGAGGAACAAAATTTTTCGTTGCTCGTCTGCTGACAAGGTGATCTACAGAAGAGAAAGGCTCAAAACCGAGCTGCCCAGCGAGCCTTCCGCGAGCGCAAGGAGAAGCATCTCAAAGACCTCGAGGACAAGGTTGATGAGCTTCAGAAAGCGTCCGAGGCAGCCAACAACGAGAACTCTGTGCTTCGCTCACAAGTCGACAAGATGACGTCTGAGTTGGCCGAGTACAAGAATCGCTTCGCCGCCATGAACAGCCGATCTGTCTCACAGAGCAAGACGACAGGTCTTGGTTTCGGCGCGTCTGCCCTCGGCAATTTGAATGACGTGAACTTCCAATTTGAATTCCCCAAGTTCGGCGTCTTGCCCGGACCACCAGTTGCTACCAAGGCCTCCCCGCAAAACTCAACTGCATCGGTTTCGCCTCACCAGTCTTCGGCCCGCAAGCCTATGAGCCCGCCTCAATCAAAGTCGAGCAGCGAAAGTCCTCTCGGCGTTGGTTCCGATCTCAACGCACTGCCCAAGGATGACATTTCCAGCTTTTCGTCTTTCTTCAACCCTGCCATCACACGCGGCTCTATGTCGACATCGCGCGCTAGCGTTGATTCCAACCCATACAGCTTCAACAATGGCACCGCTACCAGCTCTCCATCGTCATCAACGCAGTCGAACGCTGGCCCCAGTTCGTCATGCGGGACATCTCCTGAGCCGTTCACTCAGTCGCCCATGGGCTTCAAACCTGTTGAAACCATGACGACAATTGGCGAGGAGCAGACAGCATTGACCACAGGTCAAAACAGCAATAGCAGCAACAGCAACCTGGGCCACTTTGCAAGTGTCGACAACAGCAGCTTTGACTGGCTTGCTCAGCAAAACGGTGGTCAATTCGACCCCCAACTTTTCGGTGATTACCGCGAGACACAGACTACTGTGCTTCCTACGGCAACGTTTGACGACAGTTTCTTTAATGATGCTCTCGACACGGATTTCTTCATGCCATATAACATGGCCCCCAGCCCGGCTGTTCCGAAGAAGAGCAACAACTTGATCGATCAGATTGACGCGGCGAACAATGCCGACGATGAGCTGGCCAAGCCTGATCAGATTGAAACAAACTACGGTTGCACCAAGGTTTGGTAAGTTGAAAAGATGCCCAGTAATCAGCAAAAACAGTAACTGACTAAGATCTTGCAGGGAACGACTACAAAACTGTCCCAAGGTGCAGAACGGCGAGTTTGACCTCGATGATCTTTGTTCCGAGTTGCAGAAGAAGGCCAAGTGCTCCGGTCAAGGCCCCGTCGTCTCGGAAACAGACTTCCAAAAAGTGGTTCAGAAATGGATGGGCAAGGACGCGGCATGTGTCGGCCCCCCTGCGCCCGTCAACGCCAGCCAGCATTGAGGAGCGGCAGCCAAAAAGGCCCTTTAGAAACGCGGAGCAGTGACAAGCAAATAATGGTCTGATAACGAAACGGCGTTTTTTCTGCTCATTGGATGAAAAATGGCGGTCCCTGGTTCAAGAAGAGCCCGAACCGACCGTATATCACAGACGGAAGGAACATGGATGGGGCGAACGGTCTTCTTTTGAGACATTGGGTTGAGACTAGTTTGGTAGGTATGCAACGGGCAGGCGGCATCAATTGTTAGCCTCGACCCTCACAACACGGTCAGAAGGCGGGAGATCACCCCACTCTTCCTTTTTCTCTGACTATGGGAGACAGTGGCGGGAAAGTTTTCATATTTTGATGATATCGGGGGATGGGGGGTTGGTGATTTGTGGTTTTTTGCGCAATGTCACAGTATCGAGTAACACAAGTCCGGTTGGTCATGAACAAATTTACAAAATGAACAAGAACATGTAACTCGGATTTCGAGATGAGATCAAAAGTATCGAACGTTCAAAACGTGATGGCTGCATCTAGCCATCGTTGGTTGCTACGCGCGTCAAGTCAGGCAGATGTCATGTATCTAGAGGCCCTTGGATATCTGTATACGGGGTTGAACTTTCCACTCCCAAGACCCAAGATCAAATACAACGCACGCCGAGGTGACGGAAGGAAGGTTGGCTGGCAATGCATGTTGAGGTATCATTAATGCTTTCTAAGATCAGATCTCGTCTCCTTGTTCATGTCGACACCCGAAACCCCGAAACCGCCCGGCACAACGTCCTGTGGTGGGCCGCCCCTTATGACTCGAGCACAACGAGGTCGGGCGAGCCGCGGATTTTTCGTTCTCCACAGGACGATATCACTATCTGCCCTCCTCATTATTTCAACAAATGTTTGTACACTGGCAAGCTCGCCGTGCTAATGTCTATACCGGAAAACCCAATTCTGGAGAGGAAAAAAGGAAGGGGGGGGAAGCCTCGCGGGCTCATCTGCCTTCGGGTCCCCGAGCCGGCGGAGAAACGCCATTGGCGACGAGGTTGAAGGAGAGGAACATGAATTCGTCAGCGTCGTTGCTTTGTTTGAGAAACAGCCGGCCATGTCTTCGAGTCGGATCCTGCTTCGTACGTGGTGAAGGAGAGTTCCTTTGGCACGGGAGCCCGGCACACATGGGCCGCGGAAGGATTAGATATCGCCCAAGTAGCAGGCGGTTTGCGCAGACTGTGAGATGTCGTGTCGGGGGCTGACAAGCCTCACGGCCCTCAGAGTGACACGCCATCTTTCGGTTTTCAGGCAACGTTCGCGGTGCGGCCAGTCTAAAGTAAGGAACAGCCGACTTGCGCTTTCTGGACCGTGCATGGCGCCGTTCGTCCAGCTGGCTCACTTCTCGGCCAGGGTTGCTCGCGTCAACTCTTTGGGATCGTCGCAGAGGTATCTAGCCAATGACAACACGGGCACCTTCCTTGCCCAATACACCTCGCTCTTTGGGCTTCGGGCTGTGGCCTCGGCCTTTCTTGCGACTCAAGAAACCAAAAACGCCGCCTGAGCCTTCAATCTTGTCGCCGACAGCATTTGCGTCAGTAGGAAGCGTGGCATCCTGCCGGGCCAGATCGGACCAGCTACCACCACCGTCGAGTGTTACCTGGACACCACCCGCCGGGCTCGTGATCCTCTTTGCAGTCGGCGGTGCCGCTCTTTGGTTCGCGTAGTCTCCAGAATGCTGGGGGATGGGTGGTGGTGGGGGCGGCACCACAGAAGCAGGTCGACGGCTGGCGCCTTGCACGGCTTCTTGTCCATTTTCACGGCTTGGCGTCTTTTGTAGGATGGCGGGTTGGTATAGCTGCTGCTGGGCTCCGCCATTGATAATCGCCATCGTAGCCGGCGTCGCTTCGTCTGTAGTCAAGGCTTGCGGTGCTTGCGCCTGGTTCATGTCGCCGTTCAGGCCCCCGTTCAACGCAGCTTGCTCCGTCATCCTATTGAGATCAGGACCAGTACCAGCACCTACACCAGTGCCAGCACCAGCGCCGGCGCCGGCAAGAACAGCAAGCTCGTACTTCTTGTACGCCGCGACTGTGTAGTCGAAGGGCTTGAAGTCGGACTCGATCATGCGATACAACTCATCCTCTCTGATCTCCTTGTCTGACGCATCCTCCTTGAGACGCTCTCGTGGTTTTTGGCGGCGAGCTCGGGCTTCGAGAGGTGCCTCTTCAAGCAAGAGTTCCTCCAGATCGTAAGTCGCATCAAAATTTGTCTTGTCCGAGGCCGGTACGAAAACGGGGTCAATTCGCTTCTGCTCCAAGTGATCAAAGTTGAGCACAGCGAAAAACTCATGATTGATAAAGCTCTCCCAGGTACAGCCTAGTCGTTTGTCTGGATTTGGCTCCAGAGCGTCGCGGATGGCGTACAAACATGGAAGAGTGACAGGCGGCGAAGTGATAGGGTACTTGGGGCTCGCAGACTGGATCTGGTTGCTGAGGGTGCTCTCAGAACTGCCATCGAAGGGTCGCTGTGTGAGGTGAGTAAGAAGAAGCTCAACACAGGCTTTGGGGAATGATATCACAAACCTTATTGTAAATACACTCGTAAAACAAGACGCCCAAGGACCACCAGTCTGCGCGAACATCATAGCCTTTGCCAGCATAGACCTCTGGTGCCAAGTAGGCTAACGTGCCCGACTTGCTCGTCAGCACCTTACCAGGAATGACATCAGACGCAACATTCTGTGCACATGTCAGTAATCAAGCAACACAGTCGTGTCGGTTCAGAAGCTCACAAAGTCCGTCAGATGCACATGACCATCTGCGTCGAGTAGGACGTTGTCAGGCTTGACATCTCGGTGGATGATACCTTGGCCATGGATGTAGCGTAACGCGCAGCCAAGCTCCCCGATCCAGAACCGCACTGCGTCCTCGGTGAACGTTTTCCTCGAGATGTGGAATCGCAAATCACCACCGCTCATCAAGTCAACGACCAGATACCTGTTTCAGCTTGGTCAGCCTCGGTGTTGAGTGCGCGGGACGGCGGCTTGTATCTCACATGTACTCTATATCTTGAAAGCTGTATCGCAAGTTGCAAATAAATGGATGGTTCACGTGCTCCAGCATGCGTCGCTCGCGAATGATATTTCGCACGCTCTCGGAGCGCACAACTGAATAAGAGAGAAGAGTCAGCACGGGAAAGACATTGTTGCGGGAAGGAAGGGTGCCGACGGCAAGCGACAGCCGTGTCTCGAATCCGGGCAGGGTGCCGTACCTTCGTCTTTCCGAATGTATTTCAGTGCGAATGATAGGTTCGTATCTTTCCTCTCGACGATGCGCACCTTGCCGAAGGCGCCTCGACCGACAACTCGAAGAAGACGGAAGTGGTTGAGGTTCACTGTCGACAAGAAAGAGAGCACCCAAGTCAGCCTATCTGTAGGGACAGAGAATGAGGGGGCGAGGGGGGGGTTGCGGGAATCTGCGTACCTTCGCCGTCCATGTCGACGGGCTTGCCCTGACTGTTGCCCATGGCGAGCTATGGGGGTCTTTCGCGCGTGCTCTTGTCGATATCGGTAGTGGCCTGGGTTCTTCGGGTTCGATCATAGGGCAGGGCGTATTCGAGATCAATTGAACACCATCGTCCAAGGAAGTCGGTGTCGAGATGGAAGGGGCGAGCAGAAGACGAAGTGGAGTGGAAGTCGAAAGCAGGGAGTGGAGTCGTCGCAGTCAGCTGGTTCGGGCCTTGACAGGGGATGGGAGAGTGCGGAGCAGGGTCCAATTGCTTCGAATGACGGCGTGGGCGTGAACAATAAACGGCCGGGGGGAGAAGATCAGAAACGATAGGCCAAAGCACACTAAAGCAGGCTAGGTTCGGGTGGCCGACCTGGTAGGAGAAGATCGGGGTTTATTGCGGGCGTTGGAGAAACAAGATCCGCAGCGCAGTTGAAAGGCTGGCTCGCAAGAAGCGAATAGCGAAGCGAAATATGGAGAGTCGATAGGGGACTAGAGGCGGAAGGGGCGAGGGGCGAAGGACGAAGTACGAAGCAGGAATCAGGAAGCAGGCGGCAGCAAGATGAAGCGCCGTGTTAAGGGAAGGGCGACGTGTGCTATATGGTCGTAGCGTCAGCGGCGCCATCGACCATGGACGTCGTAGATAGGCAGTCCAAGTTGATTGTGCCTTATTTTATTTCATCACTCTCTTCCTCTCTCTCGTGGGCGTCCGTTCGGTGGCTGTCTCCTCGATAGGGAATTAGGATGGAGCCTTGCAAGCTCGGTAATGTGTCGTACCTCCAATGTTCCCACGCCGACCTCACGCTTGCAGGTGGAGGGGGGGGGGTGGCAGGGTGGCAGGGTGGGAACCGGCAGGCTTGTATGACAGGGGACAGGGGTGGTTTCACAAAGCAGTGTACCGGCTGGGACAGTAGCACGGTGCAGAGCCTGATGGTCGGGCCCCAGTGGTTGATTCGGTTGATAGGCGGCCAGGTACGGTAAATTGGCCGGCTGACGGAATCGATTTCGGAGGAAAGGGGGGGGGGGATGACGGTGGCGTCTCGGAAGACAAAGGGGACAAGGTGACAGGTTTCAGGCGTCGTGGTCAAGAGATGATGCGCATTGGTGGCGGGCAGCAGACGGGAGAAAGCTTCCAGAAGAGAAGGCCAAGGTGATAGGTTGGTGATGGAGAAGGGCGTGTTTCCCGGCGGCTTGGGCGGCGTCTGGGAAGAAAGAGGGTTTGGGGAACGGGGAATGGACCGGGGGGGGCAAGGGAAAAAGACGAAGTGATCCCACTGAGACGACGGTGATCGTGATCCATTTTTTTAGTGGGTGAGTTAGGTTGTTCTAGGGCGACATAATGACTTGGGAATGGAGACTCAGAGGGACGCCTACGTGTGCGTGCACCTTGCCGAGGAACAGAGGGAGAGAGAGAGTGAGAGTCCGGAGACCGTCGGAGCGCCCGTCAGCTAGCTGCGACGGCAAAGACCAAAACGGAGGCAAAAGCCACACGCTGGCCAATGGCTCATGTGGAAGCCTGGCAATCAGTGGACAAGCGTGGGTTAGGATGGGGTTGCGCCTCCTGCTGCCTCATCCACATGGGCGGCACGCCGCACCTGTCTCTGGCTTGTGTTGCTGGCGTGGTACCGACAGGTACATGTGTGCGGGTGGGCGTCGGCCAACAAGGTTCACCTTCCCGTCTCTTGCCTCGTGCCTCCCTCCGTATCTACCTCCTTGAACCTGTCTCCTGCTTCATGCCTCGTGCTTCGTGCGTCGTGCCTGCCTCCTGACTGATACCTCCTGCCACACTGGCCTGCCTACAGCGAGATGAAAGGTCAAGCGCAGATTGATCAATTGGTTGCATTCTGCATTCTCCTACAGCCTCCTGGCTTTGAGCTTAGTCTTGCACATGCAGGGCCGAGGAGGAGATTGGTCTTCTCTCCCCAAATCTGCATTATCCACCAACCGCATCTCATCCCCATTGTCAAGTCTGTCCATGTCAGCGGACATCGGCCAGCCTATCTCGCCCATCCGGGACTGCTCAGCATGGGCTCTGATCAACCTCGATCAGCTGTCGCGAGCGTATGGTGCCCTGGAAAGGCCCGGCTACAGCCCCTCCGACATGAGAGGCACGTCGCACTCGGATTTGATGCCTCTGCCTGTGAGGTCGGCAAAGATCTCCACTGCACGCAACGAGACTGTAGATCCTCAGGTTTGCATCCATATCCAGCCCTTGGCATTCTGGAGCGCCTCCACCAGTTGAGCCAGATAGACGACGGTCCCTTTCTCAACGCCAAATGCCGTGCCACTTGGCAAGATCAACCCGGGCTACTTATCCAGACTCTTGGTACACTACTCCTTACTCCTACGGCTGGCTCCGGTGGAAGCTCGCCCGTCTCAAGGTACTTGATCCTCTCTCACCGAGTACTACAAGCACCTGAGGCTTCCAGGAGCTGCAGCGCTGGTTTGGGGAAAGGCGTCCAAGCGCCAGCGCCCTATACAGCCCATGCATTGCGTGCTAACCCCTAGTGACGGGGACACAAACTCCTTTGGGACCCAGAGGAAAGGCTCCTCGACTGCCCGCATTATCGGCTGAAAAGCCCGTTTGTAAACTTGCGACGATCAAGACGGCTGCTGACCAACAGATACCTAAGTCCTCTGAGACGGATTTAGCCAGGGACCTATTGCTTCTGCATCTTGGCCATCGCTTGCGACATCCAATAGGACCCTCCTCACCCTTGTTCTCCACGTGTATGTATCGAACCACGCGGCTTTCAGTGGCCTCTCCCTCTCCCTCTCCCTGTCGCCGTTCCTTCTGTACCTCATCCATTTCTTGTCGCCTCTTCTCGCCCTAATCCTGCGACTAAGGCGGCTCCAGCCATTTGTCTGAGGTCGACGAGATGGCACCACCGACCAACGTCAAACGGAGACGCGGCCCAGAGCGGGATCCCCCCTCCATCAAGAGGACGACGCCGGCCGATTTTTCACGATTCATGTTGCCCGACTCAGCCAGGCTTCTCCGCTTGGACACCACACGTCAAGCACTAATCATTCGGCTGTCCCGTGAAAAGCCTCCACTTGACGCACGAAATTCTTCCAGTTCGGGCGGCTGTCCTGGATGGAGACCCATGACGTGAGTTCAGCAATGTCGCTGGCTTTTCCAAAGCGGACCGAGAGCATACACGCACGATTCGTTTTTTTCATGACACAATGGAGCACCACCGAACCAGGCGTTTGCAGTCCCTATTCAGCCTTCTTCAGGGCTGACCAGGCCTGAGGTCGTCCTTGTTGTTTCATTCGGCCAGTGCTCCATCGAACATCCGCAACAAAGGCCAACACGATCAAGCATTTTGCTCTGGTGGCGCTCATCGTCTGCGCATCCGCACAACACGCCCACAATACCCACGGCGCCGGCAAAAGCCCACCGTGCCACAATGTGCCACCGGGGCTGCCTTCTGGAAGCCTTCCATACGTACCCCTACCCGCGTGTCCCGTTTGGAACCATACGAGATCTCGCTGCGTTTGCCGATTCCGTGCCAGATTAGCGATTCTGCGGACAGCGTCGGTGGGCGGCGATGCAACACCTTGGCGACCCTTTGCCCCTTCCATCTCGCATTGCAGCATACCAGAACCCCTATTCTGCAAGAAGCAATGGCTGCATCGGAGCTGACGCTGGGCTGGCTACATGCTGCTGCACAATGAAGGTCTGATGAAGTACCAGAAAGCATAATATCCGCCCTTGCAGCTGCAATTTGTTTCAGCAAACGCACGTCTCACATTACCCAGACCTGCTCATCTCCCGCCCCGTACAAGGTAAGAGTCTGGCTGGCTTCAAATGATGCGACCCTCAACTCAAACACGGGCTCTCGGTTTCAAGCGCTCACGTGCATTGCGCCTACAATGCATCCTCGCCGTATCAGCCACTTTTCGCAGTTTGCAACACTGAGCATCATTGCATGTTTGATATCTCGGGCTCGCCGTCGCTGGTTGCACCTTGAACATTTCACAGATGAGGCGCGACATGAATTGCGACAGCAGCCAGCTTCTCGTCTGTGTTCCAGAGACCCTAGCAACACAACGACACCTGGGTTGGCGCCACGTGTCGGGGATGCAGCTGTAAAGTCCCGAAAGTTCTAAAGGATTGTTGGGATCCTTCGAGAAGGTCCGTCCCTTCTGCGGATATGCCCAATGACGACGCACGCGACCAGCCCCAAAACATAGGCGCGCCGTCCGCTACTCATCTGACATTACGAGAGTTCATCCGGTTCAGGCTCTACTCTGGGAAAAGCGAGGTCTGGGCAAATGACAATGTTTGCTGATCACAATCCTCCTTCAACCCGTACACCTGTCCTCTACGAATGACAGGGCTCAGCGATGGTACCAAAAGCCGTGCGTGGGTCTTCGAGACCAACGCGCGGAGGTGACTTGAACGTTTTTCACGTGCTTCATACATGGCTGGTTTGCGACACCCTACACCGTGACACCGCGTGCACATTCGTATTGGTCTGGCATTCTACAGCGTCCCTACATCTCGCTGCCATTGTCGCATACTGCAGACAACTGTTTAATCCTCGTCCCTGCATCTTACCTCTGTGCATGGCCTTGAGAGATCGGTGTGTACGCGAGGCTCACTTACACGGTCTGCCAGGGAAGAGTCAAAACCACCGTGGTTACATTCACCGTTCGCTGTAAGCTCTCCAGGCGTCAGATAGGCCAGAGAATGCTCCAAGCGTGAACGGTCGGCATGTCCGATTCGAGTTCTGCTGTTGACTTCCCCGTCACGACTGCAACCTCGCGTGTGTGTGTCATTACCATACCGTCCGCACAACGCCCCTTCGGGCTCAATTCTGCCACCGGATGCCACCAGCATACGCAATTTCAAAGCGCAAGATTGATCCGATTCAGAGGGCTCGATGCTATCCGCACTCGCGCAGGGGAGGGCCATCGGTTCGGCCAGGTCTGTGTTGCCGGATTGGCATGCAGTCATCTTGCGCTGGTGTGTTGCTTCGTAACAGCCAACAGCTACCTCGGGTTTGGCACATTCCCGTCCTTGCAAGAGGCTTCAAAGCTCAAACTTCACGCTGGTGGGTAATACTGCGACTTATTGTGATAAAAGGCCCCCCTGCATGGGTAAATCACAACCTTAAAGGCTATCCTCACGTCAGAGCTTTGCGATGTTAAAACAATGTGTGACACACCGCTGATATTGAAACAGGTCATTGGTTGACAAGTTGAATTTTGTTCCGGGGAATCGGGGTCAGCCCAAGTGACAGACATCGGGGAAAATGACTCGAATAGACGCACGATTTCATCTGATACTTTAAGACAAGAAATTGACTGGGCGTCCTGTCACGGGCAATATTTGGGTCCCAAGGCTCGGCGGAGTGAATAAAGCTGTCTCTTGTCTATTGTTGCTTAAGTTGTCGTGAAGCTTTGCATCCACGACTAAGCAGCTTGTGAGTCAGAAAGCAAGATTTGACCTGCATCAACGGTACGTACATCCTTGCATCAAGTCTCTGTGCTTCCTGCCCATATGGATGAACGAGGGCAAACTGCTGGCCAAGATAGCATCAATTCAATATAGCACGCATGTGCAAGGTCACAGCCTGACCTTCCGGCTCTGAGACTTGGATGGTGTCTAGGTTATGAATTTTTTGCAATCGTGTAAACGTCTCGTACTTTGATGAGAATCGCCGTGGGAACCAGCTCACAGAGGGCAAGTTTGAGGTTACCTGGCATGACTATCGAAACGCTACCTGACGTGCTGGTTTGTCAGACCTCACTTGGGGCACGGAGTGGTTGATGTGTGCATCTGCTGCCACGTAGCGCGATAGGGGCATAACAACCTGTTCTCTGTCAGAAATCTGCGAGAAAGTAGAGTTGTCGCTGAGACACCTTTTGCCAGTAGTTGTTTGGATTCGTTCGACTGCCCTGTCGATGCGATCCCCCACGGTTGCATTCATGCCGTTGCAGCTCAGGCCGGATCTACGGTCTGTTGTCGTCGCCAGGGGGGAAAGTATCGGGATAGCGGGGCCCAAAAAAGGACGGGGTTTTCCACATTAGAGTCGGCGGCGTTGAAGATCCACGGGTCGTCCGGCAGACTTGGGAGATGCTTAGCCTTGGCCCTGGCCTTCTTCGTTGGTACTCTGCGTGCGGTGGTCCCCTCCGCATCGGCGGTGTCACTAGTCTGGGCAGTTGTAGTCGGTGGTGGTAGCCTGAACGTCTGGGCCTGTGGTGTCGTTGTGGTCAATGTCACTCATCACGGACTGTATTCGTTGGAGATGCGCAGTGACCGCTTCGCCATTGCTGACATCGTCTCTGGCACGTCGCTATGCCGTCAGGGTGTACTCCCTCATGTCCTTCGCGTTCACTTCGCTGGAGAGTTGGGGCCCGGCATGGCCGGTTAGTGTGTTGAGTCGTAGCTGAGTGACAGTGATTGTGGTAAGATATTGGTTCGGGGCTGAAGTTTGGCTCCGATGATCATCAGGCTGACACCATGAACCACCGATATCTTAGAAACACTGTCAATTGGTGATGCTATAGAGGTAAGTCCATAATCAGACTGGTTCAATCGGATGGTTAACACGTTCGGATGCTTGAAGATTGTCTACGACAGGTAGTCACATTTTAATCACAGTGCAGCGTGGAGGAATCTTTGTAGTGAGGAATATGTCAACTCAGATGATATATGGTAGCGGCTGCCAAGCCGAATAACTAATGTCCTGTGATGTACTTGGAAGAGAAGATATGTGTGCAATGCCCCGCGAATAGGCGCGGTGCACGTATCTCACAACCGGATCGATGCTTAGATTCCGATGGGCTTGGTGCAGAGGACATTCTGGCCGGCGACGGGGAGGAGGCAGCACAGGGCCGATTTGCCGGTGGAGGCGCAGCTGTGCTTGAAGTCGTTGGCGTTGTTGGCGCTCTTGGCTGTGAAGGACGCAGAAATGGTCAGTCTCTGTTGAGAACTTTGTCGAAGTAGGCCGGGATAGGAGGCGGGAGATAGGAATTCCTGGCAGTGGATGAGGAGACTTACGGTTCGAGCAGTCAAGGCTGGCAACACCGAGGACATCGGTGGCGCAGCACTGGGGGGTGCTGTACAGGCCGGAGCAGACCGAGCCACGGGTGTCGAGGGTGGCGGGGGTGGCCATGGCGAGGCCGGCGAAGAGGGCGACGATGGCAGTGAAGGACTTCATTTTGAAAGGTGGTGTTGGTGAGGGAGGGTGTTGGTTAGAGAGTTGTGGTGAAGAGAAGTGATGGTTGATGATGTCAAAGATGCTGAAGCTGATGAAGAGGAAATATCTCTGGACCTGGCAGGTTCACCGGGTTTATATATCAATTTGATGCCATCTTCTTCACCTTCGTGAAGTCTCTATATCTCGCCGTGTTCAAGGCCAAGGGAGTGTTCAGGGAGAGCGAGTGTCTCCCGCGGACTCCGCTCAACGGCAGTGAGGAAAAGCAATATGGGCTCTCGATATGGCAGTCCTGCATCTCACCGTCCCTCGTTTCTGCCGTGTTCCCCGCAATTGCCGTTCACGACCCCTGAAAAGTTTGGCGTCATTGGCAAAAAGGGTCGCGAGCCGCGTGGGTCCGGCTCAGGGATGCACGTTACGTGGCACAGAATTGATTGTTCTGAGACCGGGATTGCCCCTAGCGGCCTTATTTCTGTCAATGTATGGGGTCAACTTTGAATCACTTTTCGAGATCAGTCCAAGATGTCTTAGGGCAGCGTGCACGGATGGTGTCGTTGATCCTGCCGAGCACAACATCGCATAGACTATGTTGTGCTTTTAGGGGTATTGATTCTGTCTTGAACACCACAAGTAATTGGGCGTCAGTTTTCACACTGGGGCCTCGAGATGGACAACAATACACGATACTAACACATTGACTACCATGCAACTCTTACACGCGTCTTGAACCTACCGAGTACTCTGATCTCAATGCCGGTTGGGCGGGGCTGGAAAGCTAGGCCAAGACCTCGACACTTTGTCTGTCTTGCTTCTGCCACCGGTGTGATTAGACCCTTTTTTTGCAGCCGCCCAGCCAGCCACCCGCTCCGCTTGTCAAAAGCAAAAAGACCCATGAGGAACCACAGACAAATCTTATCTTGACGCATAGCATCAATGCGGCAACGGCACAGGCACAGTTGAACCTCCTTTCTGACCCCCCAGCCGAGAAGACTTGCGTCGGACGGCTTGCTTAGTGCCACCGAAGTTGAAATGATTCGGTCTGATAGAGGACAGGCGCAGGTCGGTCTGGTCTCACTCGAATAGAATTGCGCAACGTGCCCAGCTCATTGTTGAGGCGACGTCTCAGCCCTGGAGCAGGCAGCGAATGATGATGATTCTCAAGCGAGCTGTTGGATGAATCGACAACTTCCGACAGTCACGCTCAAGGATATGATCAGCAGAAACAAGCTGATCTGATCTGATTGCCGACCTGAATATGCGGATGACTTCTCAATGGGCCTAAAAGAAGTAATATTAGTAGGTAGCATTCCTAGCTGTTCACCGCAACTGCGGAACACTAGTTGGAACTTGCAAGACCAGAGCCCAATGTTGCCACCGATGTCAGCGGCGGCCACGAAGCCCAATGGCTGAGTCTCGTTGAGCAGAAGATTCGAGTCAGCTGTCGAACAGAAGAATAGTCTTCAGGAGGCATCTCGATGAGGATCATCACCATTCCCCCCCAGGATCTTTCACGGCCCGTTCACGCTCTTTCTTGACCCGTTTGCGGGGTCCTTCCCAGCCCAGTGTTGACGTGTGTAACCAACACTCAATACCGTACCTGCGGGTTCATCTGGGGGCTTGAAATTGTATCGCTGCAATGATACAATGATTGAACCGAAGGAAGGCACATGTCTGTCAAATACTGTTCAAAGATGGAAAATGCAGTCCGATCAGTCAGTTTACGGTCACATGCCTGGGTTTGCTAGAACTCAAACCTCAGCGATGCCAGAGACAAGCAGCAGAGCCGCCGGTTCTGGGGCTCAATTGAAGTCACCTCTCAGCTTCATGACCACAGCTATCTGATAGAACGATCAGCTTAGATGAGTCAAGCTTTGTGTCGGGCGATCGCACGACTTCAAGCTCGTCTTATGTTGCCAAACGTTCACCTGAAGTGGTTGTCGTAATATGCGTAACCTGATGAAGCTTTTTCGAGAACCCAATGATTGCTTCAACCCACCACTAAGGTCCCGTTTATCTACTCTTGATTGGCTCGAAGGTCCAGGAAGAGGACGCAAAACCTGTTGGCAAACGCATGATCAACAAGGGCAACAGAAGCGTCAACTTGAGCTCCGTGTGCTTCATTATGAATAGATTGAGATTTCTTGAAGTTTAATTATTCATTGTGAAACCTACAGCGATACTAGTTGAGGAAATGATTCCCTGGTCAAGAACCAGGCTTCTCGTTCTAGCTGCCGACATCAGTTTTGTAAATCATTGGGTACTGTCAAACTTCACCAACACGCCACGTTCTTGGACCGCACTTCGACTCATAAGACTCCGGTTGGTACACGGCAGCTGATCTTGATGCCAATCAAGACTACCCATGCATGGCATGGAATGGGTCATATTCAAGACGTCTAGCTTTACGCAGTGGAAAGTTAAAGAGCTTCAAGTGTCATGAGGTACTGCCACGAGCCATTACAAACTCCCTACGAGCAGACGCGGCATCATCAGACGCACCTAAACAGCACTCCCCAGTAATGAGATCAACTCTGAAAATAAAGTCTCGTGGCTCTAGCTCCGCGTCCTCGACCGATGTGGAGGTCTTCAAAATGGGAGAAGACGCTCCGGGAGCCTTCAACATGGTGACGTCACGCCAGCGTAACAACCAATCGACCTACCATGAAGCTCGCGAGCCGCGACGAGCTCCGATCCCATCATACATCCGTCTACAACTTTTGGATTGTAAAACAGCTCGTCACTTCGCCGCACAAACTCAACGCCTCGGCTCACCGCAGAGCCCACGAAACACATCAGAACAGCACCAAGTCCGCCTGCTCAGCACTATCCCTCGACAGAATCACCATGGCCTCCCAAGTTCGCACCATCCTCCGTCTCCAACCGGCAGCCCGTCTTGCCACGCGGCGAACACCCCTCGCCACCACCACCACCACAACAGCAGCAGCAGCGCGGCCGCTGCACACGACGTCTCCGCGCGCGGCGTACAAGGACACGCAGGACCGCGAGTCGCTCCAGCCCGGCGGCACAGAGGGCACCAAGTCGGGGCGCGACTCGGACACGGGCAACCTCGCGTCGGCGTTCGACCCGTCGGTGACGTCGCCCGAGGGCGCCAAGGAGGCGAACAGGCGCCAGGGCAAAGAGGAGCTCGACGTCAGCGGGGCCTCGCAGGAGGTGTCGAAGCCGCGGGGGGACGAGAAGAGCGGGCAGGAGACGCCGCGGGAGGTCAGGAAGGGGGGCGCCAGCAGCGGTGGGAGTCCCGAGAAGAAGGGAGATGGAGCGGCCTAGATTTTGTACGTTTCCTGAGGCCGTTTTCGCAAAGAAGGGGGATAGGACATTGCGGACGGGGCGGGAGACCACCGAGTCGGAAAAAGAAAAGGGGGGGAAATGAACATCGTAGCATTCGTCGCCGCTTCGTTCCGCCGCGTATGAACCTAACCACCCTACGCCGTGCTCCGCCCGCCATGCCCGCGCCCGCCATGCCCCGCCCACCATGCCCTTCGTCTCGTTTTGGAGTCGCTCACGCATACAGCCCGTCGGGATCGTCATCCTCCTCATCGTCCTGCACAATCGGCACTTCCTTCTTCTTCGTCAGGTCCTTGCGACACATGGGACAGCTCCCCTTGCCCATGAGCCAGGGACCGACGCACTCGAGGTCGAACCTGTGGCTGTGGTGGCACGGCAGCTCGACAACGAGACAGTACTGGTCGTCGAGGAAGCGCTCGGCGCAGATGGGGCACTGCTCCTCCTGGCCGAGCGTCTTGCGGTCGACGCGGTCGAGGGCGTCGAGGTAGGACTGGCCGACGCCGGGAATCTCGACGGGGGGCTGGTCAATGTCGGCGGAGAGGGCTTCGACGAGGGACTCGAGGAAGGAGGCGTTGGCGGTCGAGGGGGCGGTCGCGTGCAGGGTCTGGAACTGCTGCTGCAGGAGGGTGAAGAGGGAGGCGGCGTCGACGGGGGTCGGGGTCGCGTGGGGGTTGTTGTGCGGCGTCGAGGACGAGGAGGGGTTCGTGTGAATCTGGTGGAGGAAGGCGTCAAAGGTGGACATGTCGACGCGACGGGAGTGTGCGTGCTGGCGCGGCGGTTTGATGTTGTGCTCGACTGTGGTTGTTAGGGGCATGCATGATGGGCCACTGGAAACTGGGGGGGCTTTACCTTCGTATTGCGTCGCCATGGTTGCGGTTGGGGTTGGAATCCGATGCGACAAATGGTGGGTTTTCGCTGACGATGAGGGATGGGCTGCTTACTGCTGCGAGATTGTCGTCGTCGAGCGCGTGGTGTTGATGTGTAGTGTTGAGGTTGATGAGCGAGGCTGGCTCCAGGCAGTGCCGCCGTCGCAATCCTGTCGGGAGCTTTTGGAGCTACCCCGCCTGCCTCTGTGACCGATCCACTATCATTGGCGAGGGGTTCTTCAGGTGATTGGGGTCAGCCAACTGGGACGATGGGTGCTTCAGAACCACGCGTCCTACTGCATCATTGCGTGTCACCAAGGTTGTCTATTGAATGTTTCAAGTCTCCCTATGCATCCATGATTCACATGGCAGTATGGTTGTCGCTCGTGGTGAGCGCAAGATATGACACGTCGGCCTAGAAGCATGCACCGCTCTGGTAGTGCGATCAACAGTGATGCATCGATTGGCAAGGGGACCCTGCAGTGCTGGCCAACTCCTTCGGCATCCTTACCCGGAATACTGCCTCCTCGTAGGGGTGTGCCATCCGCTTTGCTAGTATTGCCCGCATAGTTCAGATATACCCCTAAGGTCTCTACAGGCATGACAGAGTAACCACGCACTCGCGGTCCAAAAAGGCTGTTCACGAACATACCTACTAACCTTAAATCTACTACCTACCAGACCACTATGCTATACCGACTAGCCTGCCCAAGTAAAACACCTGTTGTCAACAGGTCGCGAGCGGCCTCAATCAATAACAGGTGATCTCTAGGCCTGTGTCTTGAGCGTGGGGCCCTGTATCTATCACTGGTCCACTACTTACGAAGCCTTCTGCATCAGTGGCGTCTCCTACCCTAGGCCACAGCAGGGCCATCATCACTCCCTCCTTAGCAATTTCTTCGAAGGCGAGACCTGTCCACCAGTCCTCAAGATGTACATTGACGTGCATAGGAGATACTGAAGAGTCTGGTACAGCCCACAAGGAAAACTGAAAAATGGGCAAAGCCCAGGCAATGACGGGGTACGGGCTGATTCACGAACTCGTCCGCCAAAAGTGTGCTCTTGTAACGGTTCCAATACTCACCTGCCTTACTGGGGACATGGCTACTCCAATGCCTGTGCACTGCCAGAACCGATCGTCGGACGGGCCCTTCGGCGCATGTTTCCGTCGCCGACTGACATCATGGCTCCAGGGTCTTGCGACATGGTCGGACATAATGGGGGGGCAGCCACTCCCAAGACCCTTAATCTTAACCCCGAAACTAGACTGTATCTCATGGGACCGGAACAGCTGGCGGTCGTCCCAGCATTTCGACTCATCCCTCGACAATTCCGGAGCGGCAGCCGCAGAACATACATACCCCTACCCATCGAAGAACTGCGATACCTGCGTAGAACTCGGCCAGAATGTCTGCCCCCTTCACCTCCGCCGCCGTCATCGGCAGCACCGGCCTCGTCGGCTCCCAGATCCTAGCCACGCTCCTCACGACCACCAGCATCAAGACGACGACCATCTCCCGCCGCGCGCCCCCCAATCCCACCGGCACGCCCAACCTCAACGCCATCGTCGAGCCCGACACGACCGCCTGGGCCGCCAAGCTCACCGCCGTCACCCCGACGCCGCACACCGTCCTCTCCGGCCTCGGCACCACGCGCGCCGCCGCCGGCGGCTGGGCGAACCAGTGGAAGATCGACCACGACCTCAACGTCGAGCTCATCCGCGCCGCCAAGGACGCCGGCGTCAAGACGTTCGTCTTCATCAGCAGCGCCGGCGTCCGCGGCCTCGTCGGCTCCCGCGCCCCCTACAGCAAGATGAAGATCGGCGTCGAGGACGCCCTGCGCGACGCCGGCTTTGACCACGCCGTCGTCGTGCGGCCCGGCGCCATCCTCGGCACCCGCGAGACGCCCCAGACCGGCGGCGGTCTCCTCAACGCCGCCGTGCGGTCGCTGAGCTTCTTCGGCCAGGGCGTGCAGGATGCCATTGGCCAGGAGCACGAGGTCATTGCCCGCGCTGCTGTCCGCGCCGCCCAGATCGCGGCCGAGGGCGGCGCGCCCGACAAGTACTGGATCCTCGAGTCGGCGGATATCGTGAGGCTCGGCCGCACCGAGTGGAAGGACCCGGCGGAGAAGTCTGCTGCCACTGCGTAGGGGGCCACGGGGCGACTCGCTTCTTCTTCTTCTTCAGACACTCGTTGTGTTTCGGTTGACTGATCTTTCTTGTCCTTACGCGAGATACCAATAATTACCCCTATTGCATGTTGCTGAACAGCCAAAATACTGTTCTGGAAGCTCAGCATGACATGTGATTCATTCGAGGCGCGCGCGTCGTGCGAATGAGTGATACCTTGTGGTTCGTCTATGCAGCTCGCTTCTCTTGAGCTTCCCTCCATTTCGTGCTCTGAATGATCGTTGCCGTGGTAGACGAAGTTCATCCCGTGTTGAGACACCGACATGAAGTGTGTTGCCAAGCTCAAGCGCTACTGACGCATCCAACTTGATGAGTATCGAAAGAGTATTTCATCCAGAATGAATGAAGCGAATTGTACCGTCATCAAATCAGTGGCAGCTGACTACCGGTTGCTGTTCAACATCGTATATTGAGCTTCGTTGTCGATGGAAGAGCCTGGGCAAGAGCTTAGGAGTTGCCCGAGGCGAAAGTGATCTCGCCCTGGTAAGCTTGGAATGCCAAAAGCTGCATAGGGTTCGAAGCAGTGGCCACTGCCACAGACCAGTCAGTTTAAGCTAGCTCTTCCTGCTGTGGAAGATCTTACAGTGATGGACATCAGGATGAAAACATATAGGAAGATGAGCACCAACGAAAACCTTTGGTATACTGAAAGTGCCATTATGATTGCCAAGAACAATGCGTGAACGTTAGAATGGTAAATTGCGTCTTAGAGGCGGTTTGGCGAATGTAACATTGGCTGCTTTTATGCTCTCCTTCAGGCACAACGAAAACGCATAAATGTCAAAAAGGAAAGCAGATGCACGAAACCTGCCGACAGCCTGTTTTATGTTCTAACGGACAATCCACATCATCTGGTCAGTGAATGCCAATGGTCAGCTCGCTTCTTGGTGGCACCAATCGTAGCGGTCAAGTGCTTACACCTCATCCTCGTTGAGTGAGAACATGTGACCCCGGACAATCCCAAGCCCGCTCAGTTAAGGCATCTTGTGTACAAAGAGGTGATTCAAAATTTGAATACATCAGACTATGTCAATGAATAAACCTTATGTTGATGATCAACAGCATGAAAGCCAGAAAAGAGATGCCGTTGCTGGCCTGGCCCTCTACCGAAATGTACAACTTCGATGCGACTGACGTCATCGGGTTAGGGTTGGCCAGCAGCTCCGCATTAGTCAGGGTCTGCCCCTCCTTCGACCAGCGCGACCCCTCCAACAGCATAAGACTCTCTCATTCTCCAAATCCCATCCTACGATAGCCTCACCTTTCGCCCCTCCATCACATCCACAGGCCGCTCCTCGTCTGCCTTACGCCCCAAACCGACCCCGAGACATCAGGTCCCACGCAACACCAGTCTCACCACTCGGGGGTTACGAGAACGCCTCCTGCCTTAGTTCTCGGACATTCCTGTACTACTCATCGCTGCCGACCCCCCATCAACACCCTTATCATCATGACAGACACAGGCGTCACGGAAGGGCGTCCTCGCATCGTAGGCCCCGATGCAGGCCCAGAGACCCCCTTTCCCCTCCAGATGGAGGGCAAGGTCATTTCCGGCTTCGGCCGCGGCTCGAAGGAGGTCAGTCTCGTCTCAGCTCACTGTGCCCATCCCCCTCATGCCATGAATGCCCTCCATGCCATGAATGCCCTCCATGCCCCCCCCCTTCTCCCCTCAAAACACCAAGAAGAGGGACGCCGAAAAGTAACACGCCACAGCTCGGCATCCCCACCGCCAACCTCCCCGTCGACGCATCCGTGACCCCCTGGATCGAGACGTTCGCCTCGGGCGTCTACTTTGGCTGGGCCTCGATCGCCCTGCCCGCGGACCACCCCAACCGCCCCAGCCCAACCCCAACCCCAGGCGCAGGCGCAGGCGCAGACGCGGCCGCGCCGCTGCCCCCCCTGCTGTACCCGATGGTCATGTCCATCGG